GGGTTTGGGGCCAGTTCAGAGACCCCCCCCCCCCAGATGCCGTTGGGGTCGTATATATTTTGAAGAAAAAAAAATGAACGGATTTTTAAGCACGACGTGCATCATTAAAAAAAAAAAACCGAAACAATTCTTAAAAAGAAGAATGATTTTTAATAAACATGAGTATTTCAACGAGAAGTATGGGTCTGCTTTCGGCCAAATAGAAATAAGAATAATAGATGATCCATGTCGAGTTCTATATTTATCACTGCTTCCTGGTCACCGAACGACGGCCAGACGGACCGGGTTAAGGATCCCTAGCGGGTCGGATCTGGCCCGAGGGCCGTAGTTTGAGGACCCCCTCCTATATACCATGGTCATGTTGGAACAGCAGGCTTACAATTCGTTTACCAACAACTTAATCGTACATTTGTACGGTGAAAACTAAAGTTTCGGCTTATGTTGTATTCTCTGTGTTTGTATTGCTGCGTGGGCCCAACTGGGCTGTGCCGAGTCAAAGCGTGGCCCGGGGCAAAGTCTGAAAGAGGCCCCTTCAGTGGTGTGGGGAAAGTGCTGCCCGGAGCAGACCAGTAGGAATACTGTCACCCCTTGTCATTGTGATGAGCATGAGATTTTATCGTTTAATTAACTATTAAGGTCTTATTCATTAAAGACGATTTTGGCGCCCCCCCCCCCGATGTGGCGCCCGTGGCGAGGGACACGTGCCCTGGATGCTCAATAATGTTGCAAACTAAATGCACAAAATAACTCTTCGGTGTTTATTTGGATTGTTTAAAAAAAAAAAAAACTACAAGTTAGTACAACAAGAAGTTGTAAAATAGGATACGAGTGGACAAATTTGCTTCCTGAAATGATAGTGTGTCCGTCGACTCAACGAGGACCACTTTACTTTAAACCTCTGATTATTGCTGGGGCTGATTTTGTTTGTGTTCCCGCCGAGGGGTGATAATAACAGTTCAGGTGTCAATTTTGGATTCAGTAGGTGCGAGGAATAGATCACTTGACTTGGACTTCTCTATCCAAGCCGTGTTACCGTTTTGGTGCATAAATAAATCAATAAAAATATTCTGGTATTTAACTAGATCAGAAGTTTTGTGGTGAATTTTGTTTGCTCAAAATGTTTACTGGTGCATGTTGTTTTAAAAAGTTATATAAAGCTGCTAGTTTATACGAAGTTAATTAAAGAAAGAAAACCACAATAACTGAATTATGTCCCCTATTTATTGACTTTATTTCGGATAATTTTAACCCAGAGAAAAATACAAAATGCGGGGCGGGAAATTTTTGAAATCGCGACGGGGTGTGGCGCTGTAAAAAGGTTGAGGATCCCTGGTCTAAACTGTAACTAGTATTAAACATGGGCGCCCGCAGGTAGGGGCAAGGGGTGCCCCCCCCCCCGGATTGAATGGATAAAAAATTTTTTAGACAAAAAATTTATTAAAGTAAAGAGAAAATAAAGAGAAAGTAACTAAGCTGATGTCCTGTCCGTTTGCTCACCATACAAATACGCTACAGTAAATTAAAACTACATTAAACACTTTTAAAAATTTGTTGCCCCCCCCCCTGGAAAGTTAATCGATTTTTTTGCCCCCCCCCCCCCAAAAGTTTTCTGCGGGCGCC